AGCCCTGCCCCAGACCCCCGTCCATCACTGGTTCCACTGGCTGCCTGACTCCCCCAGCCCTACCCCAGACCCCCTGTCCATCACTGGTCCCATTGGCTCCCTCTAGTTCTCACCCTATGCAGTTGGAATTGACATTTGGCTTTGGTATCCGGTGAACCCAAATCACCTCATGATTTTACCCTGGTTGAGAGATTTACCCTGCCCCACCCCAAGCTCTGGCTCTGCCTGCTGCCCAGCTGCCTTGCCTCACTGCCCACCCTGTCCTCCTGGCTCATAGTACCCACTTGCTCCTTCTGAACCACCACGGCTTATTCCCCCCACCCCGCCCCCAGGCAGCTGCTGAAAGCTGGGATTGAGATCAACAGGCAGACGAAGACGGGCACGGCCCTGCACGAGGCAGCACTCTACGGCAAGACGGAGGTGGTGCGCCTGCTGCTGGAGGTGAGCTGACAGGCCCTCGCGGGGAGGAAGGGGGGCGGTACCTCAGCTACCAAGTCTGCAGCCCTTAGGAGAGCGATCCACTATAAGAGACAGCAGCTGGAGACGGGGGAGAGAGACGGTGGCTCAGTTCTGGAGGGCAATGGGGGAGGAGAGGGGCAGGGGAAGATGCAGCCTGTGGCCTGACTGCAGTGGCTGGTGGGGGTGAGAACTGTAACAAGATTAACAGGGCAAGAGACAGAACCTCCCTCCATCAGTGCAGCTTCTGGGACTCGTTCCTGTCCTGTCCCTGCTCCCACTTCCTCTTAGTCCCCCAAACTGCCAGTGATAGGTGGCGAGAGAAGATGGGGGCTCTTCTCCCCCAGGCCTCTGAATGCTGGGCCCCCTGCTCCTCCAGAAGGGGTCTGGGTCTGCAGCACAGGAGGTGCTGACCTGCCTGTAGGCTGCCTCCCCAGCAGCACTTCTCGTGTGAGGCGTGGCTGCCCAATGGCCCTGGCACTGACAGGGTCTCTGCTGGCTCCCCCACGGCAGGGTGGCGTAGACGTGAACATCCGAAACACCTACAACCAGACGGCCCTGGACATCGTGAACCAGTTCACCACCTCGCACGCCAGCAAGGACATCAAGCAACTGCTGAGAGGTGAGCTGGGTCTAAGCGTAATGCTGGGCTCTGTTCCACGTGCTCTGTAATCCCATGGGCAGAACCAGGAGCCCTGCTGTAGGGAGCTGATTGCCCGGCTCTCACCTGGCATTGGCAGGGAGAAAGCCTTTCTATGGGGGCATGTGTGGCAACATCCCAACCCTCCTCCAAACAGGCCCTCAGCTAACCTGACTTTGAGTGCTCAGGTGAGGGGCTTCAATACTTATATATGCAGGCATTGGGGTGCCGGCTTTGGGGGGGACAGCAGGGGACCGAGTTCCTGGCCGTGCTATTAATGTTCTCTCCCCTTCTCTTTTCCTGTCCCCTGCCCTGTTCTCCTGCCCCGTCCCCACACTTCTCCCATGCTCTTTCTTCCCTCTTTCCCTTCTCTTCAGAGGCATCAGGAATCCTGAAAGTCCGAGCTTTAAAGGATTTCTGGAACCTCCATGACCCGACTGCTCTCAACATCCGGGCAGGAGATGTCATCACGGTGAGCAATCACCTGCAGCTGCGCAGAGACCATGGCTAATAAACACTGGAGTAGCTGGGAGCTTCCTCACAGCCAGGGACCCTGCATGTTCCCTACAGCACCTCCTGCTGGGTGTGGCTGGGAGCTTCTCCACAGCCAGGGACCCTGCATGTTCCCTACAGCACCTCCTGCTGGGCGTGGCTGGGAGCTGCCCATAGCCAGGGACCCTGCATGTTCCCTACAGCACCTCCTACTGGGCCTGGCTGGGAGCTGCCCATAGCCAGGGTGCCTGTATTATGCCATGTCCTGGCTCCTGCTGGCGCTGGGACACCTGTAAGGAGTCTCTCGCTCAGGGGCCTAACGCTCTCGTGCCCGGTGCCTCGCGCAGGTCCTGGAGCAGCACTCTGACGGGCGCTGGAAGGGGCACATCCACGACACTCAGAAAGGCACCGA